TCAGAAGGTTCGCTCGCTCAGATGTCTTTTTGACATCACTGCAGGTACGTCCAGCTGATCAGCCTGGATATCCGCCCATCTCAAGAGTAGCTTCGTTGGCAGTGGACTCTTGAGTGGGCCACTGCCCCCTGCACTTCGAATGGTTGCTATGTATTCAGGGAAGATCTTCCTTAGGAACAGGAATTACACACACACACACGAAGCTGGCCACGCTGAACCTTGTATACCCTAATGAGGACAAAGCCAAACAACGCAACTGAAACGGCAAATTCCGATTGCCTGGCGCGCCGAAGCATCCAGCTGCCAGTGGTGCACGAAAGCCTCGAGCTCTTCCGGGTCTCGGAGACCCTGGCGGCGGAGGTCTGAGAGTTTGTCTGGGTTCTTGTGCAGGAGCTGCAAGCTTAAGCAGCTCTGATTTCTCGACTCTTACAGCTTTGGCGATAGGGGGGGCTCCAAAGGCTCGAGCTTCGACCGAGGCATCCCATCAAAAAGGAGAAACGAGAACCCTTCTGCTAAGCGCCCGGGGCGAAACACGGGATCCTTATGTTAGGTCTTTGGGTCGGTAAAGCCACCGTACCTTCATTGCTGCCACTTCTGTTCTACACACACAATTAACATGCCCGTAGGTGACCTTTGGAGCACGCTTCCAAGAACGGGCATATGCGAAGCTGTAGAGCCGCGCTGAAACGTTCCCGTCCTGCGAACTGAGGTTCCAAAAAGGTGGTGGGAGATGGCGAGGAGGCTAGTGAAGCTACAGCCATGCATGTCTAGCACCGGCGATTGACAGTGCCGAATAACATCCTTGTGCACCCAAATCACGCGCACTGTTGCTCAGCGCATTTTTTGTTGGGAAAGCATGGAAGGGTGCCTTCGCTTTAGCCCATCAGAAAGCTGACTGACTCCTGGAACCCATAATAACTATAACCTTCTACCTAAGCTCACGAGTGTTGCCTTGAGCCTGCGCGTGTCCTTTGTGCCTCGTGGATCGAACTCCTTTAGGACGCCAACCTGCACGGTTCCAACGAAAGCTTGGGATATGGATAGCATGGTTGTCGGTATTTCGTAAGCGAAATAACTCCACAGTGTGGGGGGCTAGTGTTCCTGACCGTCCCCGGTGCGCGCGGCTGAAACACAGCCTCGGCTCTTGTCGCGATTAAAGCTCCGAGTGCATGAGATTCTTTGGTGTCACCATGTATCGCCTACATCGCCAGAGTGGCGGGGGTCATAACTAGTAACTAGAGTCGGCCAGTCGAAGCGTTCTGAACCCCTGACCCAGCTGTAACCCCGCAGTACTTGATTGCAACGACGCCAGACGAGCTCTAGCTGAGAGACAGCCCCCCGTCACTTTCTCACGGGATGCTCCGTAATGCCCCCCGGCCTGGATATCCTCCGGTAAATCCCTGAGGAACTCAGTCACCTCTCCTTGGCCATCACAACCGACGCAACCAGATGATTTTGGAGCTGTACGCCGAAGAATTGAAGGTTTTGCCTCCATGCCTGGGGTTGCTGTTCAGCGACAAGACGATAAGCCTCCGCCGAGCAGCTGTGAACATGATGCTTCTCGCACCCCGGACAAGACTGACTTCGGAATGCTTGAGTTCGCGAAGTTTGCAGCCTCCTGTGTGCTGCCAGAAACCATGATCCAACCCGCCTGCCTTTGCATCCCTGCATCAAATATGCGTTTGTGGGAACCTGTAAAGACGGTAGGACCCCAAGTCTCAAAGACCTTTGAACTGCATCCTTGTCTCTGTTCACTCCCAGACGCCGACACCACATGCCTCGAACGAAGGACAGGAAGCGGCTCCTGCGCGCTTCCAGGTAGAACGTCAGATATGGTATAGCCTTTGGTGAAAACTGTGGCTACCCTCAACTCTACAACAAACTTTGCCCTGCATCCTCACGTTGCCATCGCGGGTACCTCAGCATGCAGAAACCCACACAGAGCGGCCGAGCCGTGGCCCCCGGGCCCCACCCCTGTGGCCATATCATACAGATCATAGAACACCATAGCTCAACAAAACAGCTTTGCTCTTTTATGGTGTGCCTTTGCGGCTCGAGCAGAGCATCACGATGCATCAGGAACCCAGAGTTCAGCCGCATCAGCCCTGCGTGGGTCTGGCCGCAAACATCTTGGAGCTCCGAGCGTTTGTGACAGCCCCACAGTTTCTTGCCCCCACCCTTTGGCACTCTAAAGCTGCCAGCTCCCGACAGACGGCATGGTCACTTCACAAATGCCAGCTGCAATGCTCCTCCAGAGATGACAAACCATTTTCCAGGCTCCATTCCCCCAGAGGCGAGGCAGTCGGAAGCTTGGCGCATGCTTGGCGCGTTACGCAGCCATTGCATGCAGCGAAAAACGCCCTGGGCAGCCTGTGAGGTTCGCAAGAGCTCTACAGGACCTCGCAAGATGCCCTGGCGGATGCTGAAGATCTGAAGGTATTCCAGCCGCGGCACAGCGGTCGCTCGATGCTTGGCAAGAAGATGACACACTGTGAATTACTGTGTCAAGTACCACCAGCCGTGCCGGACTTAAAGTGCCGAAACGACGTGGCTGGTATGCCACATGAAGTCGAGTCTTGACACGATGTGCACTGCGACTTTGTGTCTTCAGGTGCACCTTTGCGCAGAATCGACGCGGTTTCTCGACCGCGCTCCGTCTCCAGCAACAGAGTCTCTCGAGGCATGCCTCATGCCTGCATCGAGAGAGAATTGACGTGCATCGGTTGACTTGCACTCATTAATTCAATGGCATGCTGCATACGTCTTGGTGCACACAAGGTGCGATGGAGATAAACACGTATTAAAAGTCTCCGAAAGCTAAACTGGCAATGCATGACCTTGTCATCCTGCCCTGCCAACTGAAACCTTGAAACGACGCGCTGCCCGCTCGGACTCTTCGGACAGAACTCCCCCGAGCAACTCCCCCGAGCCCTCTTCACCTTGAGCGCCTTCGAAAACACGCGCCCCCTTAGCCCTTCGGGGCAAGAGAGTTCGGGACTACACCGGCTCCAGACTGTGGCTCCTCCCACAGTCTTGGTGATTAGCTTTCGCAGCCTTGGCCACCGATCCACTGGAGGCAAGCCGTCTCCTGGGTGCGCGAGTTATGGTCTGCGAAGTCTGCGATGTGAAGACAATATGCGGGTCAAGATGTAACTTAAAAAATGATGTTCAACAAGTGCCCGGTCTCTTCTTGGCTGGTCAGAAGCAGAACGATGATTCCGTAGATGAGGCATATGGTCGGGATCACAATGACTAATGTGGCCCTGGCAGAGCTGGAGCCTGACTCTTTCTTTCGCCTCTGAGCATCCTCCTTCTGGAAGGGGATCATGGGGAGCAAAAACAAAGCAACGAAGGAGCTGGAATAGGTGAGCACGTAAGACCAGGCAACTGTAGAGCGGAAGGTGCTGGTGTCCGCAACGTAGTTCTCAAGCTTGGATAGCTTCGGGTTGAAAAGTCCGAAGATTTGATTGCTCACCACGGCCCCAAAGGGCGTACTTGAGCTCTGAAACGTGCCGATGAGGCCGTAGCACAGGCCTTCACGACCCGGCTCAGCAAGTTCGATGATCATCAAGTTGGACACCAGCTGGAGTCCGGCCATGGGGATACAGCCAAGGATGTCTTCGCCGAGGTAGAAGTACTGGTTGCGGACGACACCGAAGATGGTGAGGAATGTCGGGATTGCATCGAAGACGTTGATGGTAACGATTGCGACGAAAATGGCCTTTCGCCAACTGGTCTGGAGCAGGCAAACCTTGTAGATCCAGGTCGCCAGCATCATGAAGGCCAGCCCAACAATGCCAAACGTTTGCTGCTGTAGGACTTTGACCTCGGCCCATCGGCTCTTCACCATTGGCCCGGCGGTGGTTGTTATCGAAAAAAGCAGCTGTACCAAAAATGCAAAGAAAAGTAGGTTCGAGAACGTGTTCTTCTGGACGAGCTCCCACGAAGACTTTACATGGGCAGCGCAGGAGATTCGGTCCACACGCTGCCTGGGCTTCGGGAGCTCGAGCACACAACAGACAGAGAGCGGGATCATGAAGACAACCAGAACGAAGCAAAGGGCCATGAGACCGCTGAAGGAGAGCCCCCAGTCGAACGTCCCCAGGTAGGCCTTGCTGTTCATGAACACTCCAACGACCACGGAGGCCGCCAATGCCCCACCTGTGGACACCATCGTCATCTCCGCCTCTACAGATACGGGCAGCACATGGCTTCGAGCTAAGGCTAAGGTGACATTCGGCTAGACGCAGGAAAAGAACTCGATGCCCTGCACAAGGAAAACAGGTCCACACAGCCTTGATTTGCCCTCGACGTTCAGCCGGCTCACGCTGCGAGTACTCAAGCAGGAGACCCTCACCGGCTGTGATGCCCAGCTGGATGCCTCGGATGTTTTAGGAGTCCGGGCGGTCCGGGAAGAACTGAGGAAACCAAAGAACCTAAAGCTCGACTTCGTCGCATGCCCACCTGCTGTCAGGATGAACATCCAGAAAACGTACCAGTTCTTCTCGGTATGGATGTTCGGGTTGCATGGAGGGACAAGAAAGTTGTAGCTGCCATCCTCGTTCTGGCAGTAGAATGGAGCAGGTAGGGGCCGCAAACTCATGGCAAGAAGAGCACAACCGGCAAGGCACCAGGACAAGAGGAAGTAGGGCTTCCTGTGGTTGCCCCGAATCGGGCAACAGTCCGTGAGAAATCCGAACGGGAGAAGTAATACTTGCGGGAGCTTCATCAGCTGCGTAATGGAAGACATTACATACGAATCCAGCCCCATGTAGCCGAGGAAGAACCCGTATGTAACAGCCGAACAAATTGCAGTGAGGAACGCCAGAAGGAAACCGCCAATCACGACACCAATGGACTTGCGGGTCCAAATGCTGATTGCATGGCAATCAGGCTGCTCCAAGGCATTCTCGACATCGGGTTTGATGGTCAATATCTCCGGACTCAGCTCTCCTGGGCTGGAATCTCCAGCCAGCGTGGTACACTGGGAGAGGGATGAGGCGGCTTTCGTGATCTCTTTGTGCTCCAACTCCTGCGACGCCCATGTTGAAGAGAGCACGGACCACCTACCAGCCTTTCTCTGCCGCTAGACGTGCCTGACTACTTCTGTCTTGAATCGACGAGATCGCGCAGTCTGTAACTTCAGCCGCTAAACCTCTAAGCCACAGTGAACGCAGACCCGTCTGACTCCTGATCGGCGGTGGCCGGCACAGACATGGCTGTGGACGTGGGCTGCCGAAGAATAAAATCTCCAGGGCTTGAGCCAGGGCACCCTGAAAGCCACTATTCTAATGATGATACAATGATAAAGACAGATGTAAGAGTACAATGCAGCGGTGGCTCCTTGGAAGACTCATCTGCTGCTGGCGGTGTGTGTTGTGGGCACATCAGTGGCCCATGGACATGAGTGTGTTGCAAAACGATTGATGCAACCGAAGCACCCTGGATGTCGAACTGCTCGATGATCTCTATCTGTAGATCCTCCTCCAAACTCTGGAGCAGGTCCAAGGCAGCTTCGCCCATATCCTGCTGCAATTTACAAGTAAATCTTGCAGATCGTGATCTGGGATGAACTGCTGCTGTCTTGCGGAAGCTCGTGTGATCCTGAAGCTCTAAAGCTGCAGCCTCACATGAGGCTGTGATCATCAAAGCTACGAGCCCCGAAATGTAACCCTGAACCCTGGCAGGGCCAGATCGCGGATGAAGGCACGCACTCGCCTTGGGTTTCCGAAGGTGGGGGGGGGGCAGGACTCACGACAAGATCAGGTTCGCTGCAGAATGCGGTTACCGAGTCAAGCACTCAAATTATCATTTTATCGGTGTACAACTAGCACTCAGGATTTCGACTCTCACACTCGCACGGGGCAAGCAAGGCTTTGCGGCAACTGGTCCAACCCACATGGGTAAAATCACACCAGATCTGAACCAACCAAATGTCTGCGATCTCAAGTCTGTCCGGCATGATTGATCGGTGAATGCTGTTCGCACAACTCGTGCCATTGTTGCATGGATGCAAGTGCGGCCAGTGTTCTTGCCACTCGCAACTCGGCAAGACCAGGCGAGGACGTTCGGTCGCATGAATCAGTACAGACTAGCGACGGGCTGCAGCATACAGCACAAGGCAGGTTGATGTAGTCTCCAGAACAGGCAGTTCACAATGCACGTGCCACCTGAAACCTCGAGCCCAACCACCAGATCCAATGCAGAACAGGACACCTGTTGATGCCCGAAGGCCCAAAGTCCTGCGGCCAAAGAGGTTGGATTTCCTGCGTGTCTCTGCTGCGTTGTGTGATATCCACCGAGCCTTAGGGACACCGCAGAAGCCCTGTGGAACCGACACCGACAACCGTTGCAAGGCTGTCCTCGCGACGCTTTGGCGGCGGAAAGTCGAAGGGCATCTGAGCTCTTCTCGCGACAGATCTGGCAGGGAGGGTGATTTGTCAAAGTCGCCGAAGAGTCTCAGGCTTGATGTTCCCTAGAGATCCTAATAGACACTGAGAAACCAGATTGCGCGCTATTGAGATTAGGCTGCGGCTGCAAACTTTTGTACTTGCTTCGCATGCGGTGAGATCTTTGCTATCCGCCGCAATGCACTCGGGTGTCCTTAGATGGCTTCGCCATCCAATTTAACAAATGATCGTAAGAGATATTGAGATAGCTCATCCAAACGGAGCTATGCACACTGTAGTTCACCATCTGTCACATGTTCATGCGACCAGAAGGTTTCTCGGGGAATCAACACCGAAGGACGTCATCTGATGGACCGAGCTGCGCCCATCTTTGAACCTCCGAGCCAACGGCTCACGTGAGCTGCAGCGATTTTCGGAGGTGCCTGCGTTGCCTGTTGAAAGCAACTTCAGTTTGACAAAGCATCGAGCCGTGTTGATAGACCTGGCAGCATGAAAACACCACTCTTGGGCTCTAACGCTGCCAGCTGCATGTGCAGCTAAAGCTTTTTCTGGGAGCTTTTCTGTCCTCGGTAGAATACCAAGCCATCCCGTGCACAACTCAGAGCCACAATCAACAGCCTGGAAGAACTACAACGAAGGGTGCAAGCAGTCACGAGTTCCCATAGGCAGACGGGCAACTCCGCTGGACACTGTTGAGGAGAGCCTGTCGGGAGAGCCACAAAAAAAATAGCAAAAAAAACGACTCCACCATGTGCCTTTGTGGCTTTGTCGGCTTCTTGCCGCTGCCTGGAAGCTGCACCGAGCATTGGAAGTCTTCAAGTCTTGTATTTGCTCTCAGGAAGCTCCGCTTGGTTGTGGTTCGTAAACCAGCTTCCAACTCAAGGACGGTCTAGAAGCCCTGCTGGGTGCTGTCGGCAACTTACGCGAAACTAGTAATCCCGGTAGTTGTGGCACTCCCCGTTGTTCCGTGAAAAAACCACCTCGAAAGTCGGCACTAGGGCTGCCCGCACGAGCAGCACACGGTTTCGGGCAGGTTGCCAGCTACTGCCGGCCAGGCTTGCCTCTTCAGGAGAGCAGGAAGGACACTATACTGAAGTCCTGGTAGTGGGACTTATTAGGATCCCCAAAACAGCCCAGTGGCGCTGCGGCCGAATCTGTTGCATTGTTGCAACATCAACTTTTGCGATTAGCCCCACGAGGTAATGCTCTCCGAGAGGCTTCTCGTCTTCTTGCTTGGCGTCCAAGAGATCTTTCCTCTTCCTTGCATGTTGACTTGTTCGGTTTTTCAACGCACGCTATCAAATCTTTTCTTCCGTCCAAGAGGATAGGTGTGTATAGTCTTTACAAAGCATCGAATTAATCTCTTGTTGAGTTTCAAGGCTGACCCGACACTCCCGGATTCACTTTGCTCACTCCAAGCCTATCCAAACTCACTGGTAAGATAAGACATGGCTCTAAAGGAACGGAAGACCAACAGCCAAGCCACTTGGCACTGTGCAACTTGTCCAGCTCCTCCAGGGTCAACTTCGAATGGTCCATCCTGGCCGTGGGAGGCATCGAACGGAGGAGGAGATGTCATGGAGCTAGCCATCGCAAGAGCATGACAAAGCATCAGCTAGTCGCTATTCGATTTAATCCCCCTGGAACCGTGGAACCCAGGCACGGATGCGTGCATGCCTTCACCAGCAAAACACAGGTGGACACGTTTCATGCATAAAAAAGATAGATCGTGGCAAAGTACACACATCAGACACAATACAATCATTATAATTACTTCGTACAAGCTACCAGCTACCATGACCAATCAAGCCTGTTTGATAGATCCAATGTACGGAAACAGCGTCTGGAAGAGGTGCATGACGAAATCACGACTCAATCCAAAGGGCACTGGCTATCCCAACACTGCCAAGCCACACTGGCACCTGGACCAGTGTCAGCTTCTGACCGCGCGTGCGCCTGTAAACAGAGCTACGAGTCGGAGCTGAAAGCATTCGGTCCTGGTAACCTCCTGCATTGCTCGGAGGAGGGGTAGGTCAGCCGGCGGAGCAGAGGAGGAGGAGGAGGGAGGGAGGAGGAAGGGAGGGGGAGGAGGATTGAAACCTCCCGGAAAAGCACTAAAAACGGCAGTTAGAAGCGAAGCTATGCACGTGGTATTGAACAGTTCGCATAGACGTGTGAGGAACTATGGTCGAACATGTAGCACACCTGCACAATCCCGCATGCACAATGCAGTGGTGCAACATCAACCGAAACGCCAACTGGCAGCATGTCACTGCTGTTAATTTTTTAACTTTCAGCCCTCATGGATTTATGCTCGCAACTCACAACTCCACAACTCTCATGCTACAAACCGAGTAGCTGCTTCTTGACCTCCAGCCAGCCCATGGTGCGCTCATCATCTGGGCAGCAGACAATGCATTGCAATGCATCTCAACACGCGGAGCCATACAAGGCGGTTGTTAATGTGGCAAACGAGCAACAACAGGAACAGCTCTGACTGTCGAATCTGTCGAACTGTAGAACTGTGCTTTGCGCATTCCAAGCGGCTCGCCCAGATGTCGGCGATTCGCCAAATGTCCCGCGGGCGGGTAAAGAACCTCTGCAAAAACAGCCGCAGCGTGATGTGGAAACCGATCAAGACCAGAGCATGCCACCAGCAGCACTTCACAGAGCTGCATCCCCACAACGTCGACATGAGGCCCATATCAACATTCCACCAAAGCACGTCTGGAAGAGGCGTCTCAGGAAGTTGTCGTGGCTGGGGCCTTACTTATACATCAGCGATCACAGTCGATGAAGGGTTCCTTGTTACGACCCTCCTTCGCTGTCTGAGTGCAAAGAGGGCTGCAATAGCACAACATGCTAGGGCGCTTGGGCTGTGCGAAAAGATATGACAGGGGTGACAGCCGTGACAGGGCGTGCCAAACTCACCTCTTCTGGTCTCAGATTCGGGTTGCGGAGAAGAACCCTAGGCAAACCAAAAGTGATTTCCATAAAACCTCTTGGTCTGTGGAAAACAAGTGGTTCATAGGGCCCTGAAAGCAGAGCACGGGCATGTGAGCGGTTGAGGAAACGGCGAGTGTCGTGGCAGGATCAAGCAGTGTAAAAGTGAGGGTGGGGAAGCCGAGCGCTTGTTTCATTAGTGCTTTGGCTTTTCCATTTGTATCTTTTGGTCTAGAGATGCATAGTGTGGCCTTTGGTACAGTTAACATACGCGCAGTGAAAGCCGGGGTATGCAGGGGTTGTTTTGACTAAGCTATATTCTTCCCACTTCCCACACATGAAAAAAGAAAACACAATAAATGAAAAGAAAGTGACAGGTTTTACCCTTCATGTCACTTCATTAAATTACTGCCTTTTTCTGTTAGGCGACAGAAGTTATCGCATGTGTTTTTCTTCAATGGAAAAAACACGCATACGCTTCGTCACCTTGTTTTGATTTCATTGAAAGCGAACCCTGCAGCACAATTAACTCATCATCGTGGCCTTTATAAGTAAGTCCCTGTGCCAGAAAGTCAAACAAATATAGCGAAATGGACTCAAACAAGTGCAACAACGAGAAGCACGTGTTCATTCTGTTTCACTACATGAAATTTATCTCCTGCGGAGTTCCTGTGGTGTTTTGTTCAGTAATATGCACGAAGCGTGCATTAACTCACTTTGTTTGTTTCTTTACCTTCCATCAATGAGTTATCACAAAACGAGCAGGAACAAGGGACCCAGATTACGAGGTGAGATAGGTGATAGAATAGTAAACTCCCTCTTATTCCAGGTCATCAATTGTAGGTACTTCCAAGATATAGGCAGCTTCCTAGTGATTTGTGAGGTAGTGTTGAATGACTCCAAGAATGCAGCTGCCATGTGATGAATGCCGTTCCAGTTTGGCTTGCTTAAAGGCAGCAACATATCGAGTATTGGACATTCTTTTGCCTCGCACCTAAGTGGGGGTATTGGACCGTAGACACAAGCCTTGACCCCGGTGCAACCGGTACAAGTTGGACGAACGGACGGACGAACGAACGAAAGGACGAACGGACGAACGGACGAACGGACGAACTGACGAACGGACGAACGGACGAACGGACGGACGCACGGACGCACGGACGGACGGACGCACGGACGGACGGACGGACGGACGGACGGACAGACGGAAGCACGGACGAACGGACGAACGGACGAACGGACGCACGGACGGACGGACGGACGGACGAAAGAAGGAACGGACGATCGGACGCACGGACGGACGAACGGACGAACGGACGGACGGAGAGCTGGAGAAAGACGAAAAGACTTTTAAAATAGACGGACAGAGACGTTCAACAATCCTTTTCACAAGACGAGGTGCAAGGTCCATGCTTGCCTCCTTCCATGTAGCATACAAGACCAGTGCCCAGTTCCTGGCAGGGTTGGCGCGTCAGAGACAACCGAAGGTGCTGTGGGCTGGAGCCGAAGCACATGGCGATGCTGTGCATAACACTCTTGTAACCCCACTGGACAAGGGGACGTCCTGTCTTCGATATTCCGGGGATGTTGCTCCTTTTCGTATCCCGTCTGAAGAATCAATGAAGCCATGAAAATGTTTTGGTGCTTTCATCCAAAGGCATCTTCAGATGGACTATGGATGGTTTGAGCATGCTTGAAGAAATAGATTCAATAGGCCTGCTCCATCATCATGTCGAAACCATGCCCGTCCTGAGGTCAAAACGGACTTGCGCGCTGCAGCTTATTAGTTGGACCTCACCATGAAACTTGCCGCTGGATAGGCCGTCTGTTCATTACACAGTTCTCGGCAGGCTTCGACACATCTTCAATCACTTGCACAAGGGGGACAAAGAAGCAGCAAAATGTGCCAATCAAGAAGAGCTTCTAGCTTGACATCCCCGAAGCCGCGCTCTTTGTCAGCTTGGACAAGGGCAGCAACCTGGAATCGTGGACTTTCGATCGCGTGTATGAGACGAGCTTGAAGGCGTTGCGAGCAAAATTTTGACCAAATAAATATGTGGGGCTCTGCATGGATTGGCTCTGGACGCTGATGAAGAGTGCAGGACATCTGGTTCTCAGCAGTACGTGTAGGATGTTCAGAAACGCATGTGCTGTCCGCAAAGAAGCTTTGCCGCCAACAAGCACTGTCGGCTCCTCCAAAGTATTCATCTTTCGTGCCTCAGGCAAGTCCAGCCGAGCTCAAAGCAGCGACGGGCTTCTATAAACAAACCGAGCGCAGGAGTTGAAATCGCGAAAACGCCTTGCTTTCGATGTGACGGCAGGTCTCCCAATGCCAAAGTACCGATGATGTTCAAGGTAGGAACGTCTTTGTTGCCTCCAATTTGTGCATCCTCCTGTTTGGGCGTAAAGTAACCTGAGTTCGGCCAGTAACAACGCAAGAACTTGCTGCCACTGCCCTATCATTAATCATCCAAGAAACAATACTCTATGCTGAAGGAGTTGATGAAGCCTTGGCTGTTTTTGCAAGATCGCATCGTTCATTGTTGGGTTGAATTAAAAAATAAACGCGCACGTCCGATTGTTTTATTTCATTCAATTAAACACAAAGAATTCACTTCATAGTGCTATGTGGGGGAAACTAGTGCTGGAATCTGAGGTGCGATAAAGGTACGTCAAAATATAAGAGGTACACGGTATGAAAAAAGTCAAAATCTCAAAATAATCTATTGATTTCGCTCTTTAGCTCATTTTCTTTCTTGCTTCCATCACGCTTTGCTCACATTCCTTTACAAAACAAAAACGGAAGTAGTCTCTTCACATTACTCTGATTTATTGGTATCCTTTCAATGTTAGGTGTATTTCCAGAAGGATTTTATGGGTGAAACATGCAGGCCAGGCACGGCCCAGCACCTGGTGCCCATACCTTCCGTCATCAAACCGTGACACCGTCATGGCCCCTTCCGATGTGCCACCTGGAGCCAGTGAGTTTCGCAGAGCTGTTTCATCATGCAGCATGCAGCCAAATTGGGCAACGGCAGCTCTCACGTTGCAATGCTTGCGGAGTGCACGGCGAGCTTTTCATGAACTACCAGAATCCTGCGGTCAACCTTGCGCCTACAGCACACGATTCGACGATTATCTGAAGCAGCCCATGTGCCTATGAAGAAGCCTTGTGTCCGAATCCACCTGGGCAAAGCAAAGCTGACCGTGTGCAAAGCTGCCGCTCTTCACTGCAATCATCTTCAATACCGACTGTTAAACAAGTTCAACTGTTGCCCACAAATCGCAAAGCAGAATTTGCTAAAGAAAGTGTGGCCTGGGAAGCTTCTCAATCGTCCAATGAAGCTCTCGCCGTCGCATCTGATAGCATCGTTCGTAAAGATCTCGAAACTGGCAGCGAGCACATGCAAGTTCTGAAAACCACAGACGGCTCACGTCAGAATTGCCAGGCCCTGTGGGCACGATGCCTTCCAGCATGACATCATGCCTGTGTGGACTACTTGCCCTGCCCGTCTCGCCTTGTCTGGGTTGTCCAGAACGGAATCGGCTTTGGTGGAGTACGTGTGCGAACCATCCTTGGGGCCGCGGCCCCATGGTCTGACAACACATTAGCCCAGATGCTTGAACTGAGGCAATCGCCCTGGGAGATTAGCGGCAGAGAGCCCTGAGCCTGAAGCTTAGAAGTTGCCGATTGCCCATTGCTCGCCGAGGCTCCGCACCCGAGGAATAGACCAAATCATCTGCCCAATAATCCACTTCGTCCTTCAAACCAGCTGGCCAAAAACGGTCACGAACCACGAAAGCTGACAAGCTGCGGCATTCAGAACAACAAATTTGCAGCCACAGGTCCGTCGCTCGCTTCAGCGGCTGCACGTCCTGCATGGGCTGCCGGGCCCAGGAAAAGGAGATTCCTGCGAGCCCTTCCTTGTCTATAAGAGGATCGCTTTGTGTTTTGCGAAAGGCCTTCGGCCTGAGCTAACAATGAAACGAGCGACAGGCAACGGTCTGCCTTGTGTCTCATCTTGCCCAAGTCCGTGTTCTTTGGATAGGCAAAGCCGTCCGGGGCGATGACCAGCCTTCTTGCGCAGCCACATGGGTTTCAAGAACTAGTCGAACTTGTGCCCGAAAATCGCATACTTCTTACGAACGGGGCAGTGTTCTGTGACATGTGCGCTTTCTTCACTTGCATCTCGGTCACATGCCCATCCGAGCCATCATCCGGCAAATCCGGAAGTTATCCCAGCTGCAGCCGCCGGAGCCATGGGCATATATGACCTGAGCATGGTATGCAACTGTCTACTACTATCTGCACGCAGCCGTTAAATCGGAAAGCTCGAGAAGCTGAAGAAAAACATACATTTACATGCATGCATACATGCATACTACGTATATACGCATACATATACGCATATACATATACATATATACATATTCTGCCGACGGCCAGGCTTCGGGACTACTCATGCCAGAAATCTCCGAAGAATGGGAAAAGAATCCACAAAGCCAAGGATCCCATGAATTTCACTTTCAGACTGCCAGATGCTGGTGAGAGACATCAGAATACCTTTTAAAGGCATGTTCAAGATTCCTCGACCTGAAAACCGACAACCCTCATCCACGCCGCGAGACGGTGCCTCTCAGATAGGAATACTTCAGTCGATTCAGCACTCGCAGACTGTTCCTTCTTCTCACTGCCGTGCCTGGTGCAGAAGAGGAAGGATTGCGAAGCCGTGCTGTTGCCACTGTGCCACGCAGGATGATACCGTGAGAAGTGTTAGGAGGATAAGGTTGACATCAGCTTGGGGCAAGGCAGCTCCCACCCCAGGCTGCGGCCAGATCCAGCACAGTTCGAAGACAGAACCCGGAATCCTCTTAAATTGTGCAAGTGGGCAAGTGTCGAGAATGTTGCATCCTAGAACCAAAACACAATGAACCTTCGTCATTGAGTCGTGGGATTGCATGCACACGAGCCTTTCCACCGGGCACAAAGCTTTGTCAGAAGGCTCTTCCTTGATTGAGCACAGCTTCGAAGGGGTGCTCAGAAAACTTCCTTTGGTTTCTGTTCACCTGCCCTCTCGCTGTCAGATCGTGGACTGCTGGAAGAAGTGCAGCCGACGGGTCTTCTTGGGATCCTTGAGCATGGCATCCAGGGCCTGCACGTCTGCAGCGGTCAATCCAGGTTCTGGCTTGCCGCGATTCACCTGATGAGAGGTATGGCAGCTGTGGCTATGCAGGCTATCGACAGCTCAACTTCAGGGCGAGGCAACAAACAGAGCGTGGGCGTGATACTCTGCGACAGGGAGTTTTCGCAGATTTGGTATGCCATATGCATTGCGTCCGAAAGTTTGCAGCTGCATCACACATAAGTTGATGTTGACACCACGCCAGTTTTCAAGGGCAAATGCTGCGTTTGATGCCGGGTGTCTCTACAAGCTTGTTTGAGTCTGTCTCTCGTCTTTCCACGTCATTGACACGACATCTTCAAGAGTGAGCACAGGAAGGATTGATGATCGCCGCAGCTGTTGTCGAACTGATTTCTAACGCGGGAACGACTCCTCCTGCTCTAGCCTCATATTCGACCACGCAGACGGACAAATCCAGCTCCAAGCGCTTCTCAGGGAGCGAGGGCCCGACTGAGAAACATCCCGACATCCCAAAGCGTTTGCATCACCTTTACGCTGAGATCCTGGAGCCGAAAACGAAACCTCCCGAATTTCACCGGAAGCCACGAACGAGGCGCCCTCGCTAGGTACTCGTCGTGCTGCACGCGGAGGAGCTCCCGAAGTTCCCAGACCCGGCCGAACCAGAGCTCTTTCCTGGGCGGCAGCATGGCTGGTGCTACGACCATGAAGTTCAACTGCTCAAACCAGGTGTCCTGGTGTCTCCCTTGTCGGACATGTTGGGTTCGAGCAAGAGCTCTCCCACCTTTGCTTCAGGACTTGTGCCGCAGGTACGAGTAAAGCAAACTCTACCTTTTGCTGGCCCTGCCCATCCATAGTGAGGCCCTCGGGCCTGATGCTGGGCATGCCTGCGGCCATCTGCGGCCTTTGGTCTGTTTAAGGACTCAATGCCCTGCCACCAAAGGCACAGCATACTCCGGTAGGAACAAGAGGGTGTTCTCCACAGGATGTGGCTCGGACGGCGGCCTGATTCGCGTGTCCTTACTTTTCAATCACATTCTTCTCCGCACATTGCAAGAAGTACATGCACACTCTTTTACCCGACTGCTGAACTCCATGCCCTCCAACGACTCCTTGCAAGACAACCTCCTGCAGACAAGCGCTGACTGAGGCAAGCAAGTCTCGTTTGAAACCCGTCGCAGTCCAGAGGCCGTGTTTCCTGTCAAAACTAGCGGGCACAGTGCACACAAAAGTGCTGCTCACTCATTCCTCGTTCTGTGGTTCCCCATAGACGGGGCTGTCGAAACTTTCTGAAATATATGGTATATGTACACAAAAGAGAAGTCTTCAGAGCATCTTCTGCTTGTGGAAGCAAATCTGATACGCCCGCACCTTCGGATTACCAGCCTGGTGACTCGCCGACAAAGCGTGCGGGACTGGCTTGCCATCATGCCAAATGCAAGGATTGTTGCAGGAACTCTGGAGAAACATAAGCGTAAACACGGATGCTTTACTTATCTACCACTTTGGGCGGCGGGTCATCAGGTGAAAAGCTAGAGTTGTTAATGTGCCTGACGCATTGTCCAACGTGGCAGCTGGCACGAAGTCGACCGCTCCCTGCAGAACATGTCTCAAATGACGGCAGCACGCATTGCACAACCAGGTCTCCGAGTAATCATTTGGCCCAGTGTGCCAAATGAAAGAAGCGTGGGAAGGCCAGTAGATGCTTAGCCGAGGCGTAGTTGCAGGCTAGCTTAACATCTTCTTGCTTCGGAGACCTTCAGCACGCAACCACAACAGCCTCCTCAGCCTCTTTCATTCCCCCGTATCCGTTTCTGGATGTTGAATGCCGCGCACTCAATAGCCCCTGCAGCAAGCATACCCCAAAATGTCCGGTCTCTTGGGCTTCAATTCAAGCACACTACAGAGCCAAACTCCGAAGGCCGACGAGACCCCTTATCTCATCGAAAGCACAAGCCTACGCATGCTCGAGAGGATGCACTCCATACCGATAGACAGATTTTGTCTAATGCTGCCTTGTGTAAGAACTATCAAGACACAGAGCCTAGGCCCAGCAGTTCGGGATTTCTTCGCGCCTGGTGAATTATTACGTGATGCTTAGACTTAAGTTCTGGATTCAGGGCTTGCGGGCTCGGAGTTTAGGATTTAGGGTAGGGTTTTGGGGTTTGCATTCAGGGTCTAGGGCCTACCCTATGCCAAGCAAGTACAGGGGACCTCGAACTGCCGCCGGGGGGACCATCCGTTGGACCAAGAACCTCTCCGCAGGCGTGTGGCATTCTAAGTCTCAGACTCTAGTATGAAGGCTTTGAAGGGTGGATGGGGTTTGAGAGGTTCGCGACGCGACTTCGGCGCAGATTTTTCAACATTGTCCAGGGTCTCTCTCTGTTTGCACACCCTTCAAGGGTGCTCCAAAATTGCTGATGTGTTCTGAGGAATTCATCTCAAGCAAAACGAGTAGCACAAAACCCACCTTGGAACCTCGCACCACAGTCGAGCATTTTGCTTCAAGCATTGAGTCGGGATCCCGGCCTAATGAACGCAGGCCACCTGTGGCACAGAGCGACTCCACTCGGACAGTTCAGGTCAAGTGGTCGAGAGTCTAGTGAGGCTCATGAATTCAGGAGACAAGCAGGCTAAGACGGCTAAGAGTGAAAATCTTCAATCCAACACTCTGGCAACCAAACTCCTCGTTCACTTTGCCCACTGCACCATCCGGCCTGGCACTCCGAATGGCGAGATGGCGCTCGAAGACCCGGGCCGCACCGGAGACCCAATGGGCCTCGGAAGGAATCATCGTAACGATAACCACGACTGCACGAATGATACTAGTAATCATAATTAGTGCTGGTGGTTGTCGTCATCATCACCATCATCATCACAATCATCCTCATCATCATCTAGCCGCCATCTAGCCCCATCACAACGACAAGCACATCACGTCCTTCTTGTTCCTGCTCCTCCGCGTACGCCTACTTCCCCACATGCTAAACTACCACATCTGCACATGAAGCAGATGTTCTCATTCGGCAAACGAAAACCGTATCTGTGTATATATGTATATATACCTGCAGATATACATATAGTATAGTTTACCAACATATAATTATATAACACAAGGCAATGTAATATTTTGCAATGGCACGTAACGTAATGTAATGTAGTATAACAAAATGACACATCAACTACATGTCATATCGCATCATGTCAAAACATACCATATAAGATCAGCTTAAATATAAAACATAACATAACACAACCTAGTAAAGAAATTATACAGTATATTATGAGATAGTGTGTAATCTAAAACATATGTTATGACATGTGAACTACAGAACATGACGTATATAACATATATTTCTAAATTAAACATATATATATATAATGATAATAATAATAATAATACTAATCATACTACAAAATAAACATATAGATATATATATATTTATTTATTTATTTATTATTATTATGAGTTGGTTATGGCACAACACCCTCACAGAGTGAAACTCAAATTGAGGGCACGCTTTTTACTTGAGCCAAAGTGTTTGCAGTCGACTCGGTGTGAAACATGTTTCTACCTGCAGATTGAACATGCCCCCCTGTCATGACTTATGCTAAGTGAGTTCTAGAATACTACGGTCCTGCCTCTCCAAGCGCGTTGCCGCGTCTTGGAGTAGGCAGCTGTACCTGCACTGTCATTTTGACAGTTTTGCCGTAATATTCCTACTCCCCCTTCTTACGTGCATTTGTCAGGCCTAAACCTTGTTGGCTTCAATCTGAGGAAGCGTTACCGCTATCTCTGAGA